ACAGATCTTGTTTCATTTTTCTGCAAATGGATCTCCAGTTTTGCCAGCACCATTTATTAAACAAACATTCTCTTCCCCATTTAATGGATTGGGGCCTTTGTCAAAGATCAGCTGACTATAGGTCGATGGATCTATATCTGGGTTCCCTGGAGAAAGTTTTGATGCTTGGTAAAGTGGAGGGTTAATGAAAAAGGGGAAGGCCCTCAGTGAGATGGATTGACACAGTGGCTGCAATGATGGGCTCAGGTATAACAAGTACTGTGATGCTGGCACAGAACTGGGCAGTCTTTTGTTCTGTTGTACAGAGGATTGCTATGAGTTGGAGCCGACCTGATGGCAGCTAATAACAACAATTAGGAAAAATTTATTGATTCATGTTGCTGGAGAAATTAAAAGCTAGACTGAGTTTAAATCACGCGCACACACACACACAGATACATGTAAATTTTATGGGGTGAAAGTTTACAGAGTAAATTCGTTTTCCATACATACAATGCCTCATGACATTGACTGCAATCCCTACAGTGTAACAGCTCTCTTCCCACTTCCTCCCTGTAGCTACTTTTTCCGTGTCCTTCTTTCCTGTGCACTCCTGCCCTCTGATCTTTCTCCCTGGGCAAATACTGTCCTTTTATTCTTCCATGATTGATTGTTCTAAGGAGTGTATCTACCTGATGTAATTTTTCACCCTATATGCCTGTCTATTGTTTGGAAGCCACGGGAGTGAGTCAATTTCAGATGTGAAAATTAACTAGGAGCCATAATCTCAGGAGTCTCACCAGGGTCTAACAGACCAGTAAGCCTGGTCTTTTTTATGATTTTGAGTTTTTTCTTTTCATACTCATTCCAGGATCTCCTGCACTGATCCCCTTACAAGCAAACCACTAACCTTTTGGTTAGCAGCCAAATGCCTTAACCAGTATACCACTAAATCTCCTTGTACTTACTCTGAGTATACTTATTTCTTTTGTGAGTAATTGCTGCCCTCTAGTGATAATTTAGTTTGTTTCATAATAAAGTTTCTATTTGAAACTTTTCAAACCTAATGATGTCTAATTTATTAATATGTTGTTGTTGTTGTTGTTATGTGCTGTCGAGTCGGCCCCGACTCATAGCGACCCCTCCTTGGGTTTCCGAGACAGTATCACTACGGAAGTAGGATTGCCTAACCTTCCTTCCGAGGAGTGGCTGGTGGGTTTGAACCGCCAGCCGTCTGGTTAGCAGGCAAGTGTCTTAGCCACTATGCTACCAGAGCTCCCATTTATTAATATAGTAGACATTTATTTTTATAAAGAAAAATAAAGTATTTGAAACACGGAGTAGTTCTATAATTACATAACCTAAACAATATAAGAAACTTATCTTACATAGCTGCAGTTGGGGAACATAACTCAATTTTTTTCTATTTGAATACAATTACAGTAAATTATTTTATTAAGCCTGTTATAAGAGATGATATAAAGTTTTAGTACTTTGCAAAAAGTAACCAATACCATATAAGTATTGGTTCTTTTAAAAAGAATCTAGAACTTTCCACATAATATGAATTCTTATAGGTGCCAGGTTTTCTTGGGATAAATTATTAGTGATTTCTTTGAATGGTCCATGTAATATATTTTTGATTTAAAATTTCTTGTCCAATTATGAAGTAATATCTATTTTCATACCTTTAGTAACAATTATAATCAGATAAAGACTTAATTCACTTCTTCCATAGTTTTAAAAATTAATAATAGTTTTTATAGTTAATGATATATATATATGGGTTTTAGTCATATAGTTTAGTTTTAGAATGTATTCTGAGCTTTAAAATAATATAAATGGCAGCACAAATAGTAAGATTAATTTACATTTCTTAAAATGATTACTTTTTTCTTTGTTTTGTCTTATGCATTTATTACTTAATATGTTACTGAAAAATGCATTATCTCCCTCCAGGGCTATTGATGCACTGTTGGAATTAAAACCATTCATAGAAGAAATCCTGCAAGGAAAACCTTTGACTTTGCCTCTTCAAGGTGTTGACACTTTTAGCGATCAGATTGGCTATGTAAAGCTGGCAGAGGGAGAGCACATAACCCCACTTTCAGAGATAGCAGGTAAACCAGCAGCACATGCATATTAAATCTCTTCTGTTTATGAAGCAATTGTTTTTTCAATTTTTATAATAGAAATTTGATGTCCTTACTGTTGGGGAAGCAAGTATAATTTCATTTTATAAGTGAACTGCTTTGGTATTTGTTGGTATAAGTAAGGCAGCCAACGAAAACTCCTGAAAAGTTACCTTGATTCTTCAATATAAGGGTTATGTTCATTTTTTGGCTGTCTGGAAGGTGATAAGTTGGATTGAGTCAAAAGTCTGAAGGACTGTAGTGTTTATCAAGTCATTTGACACATCATTGTTGTTGTTAGGTGCTGTCAAATCAGCTCTGACTCATCGTGACCCCATATACAACAGAAAGAAACACTGCCCGGTCCTGTGCCAGCCTCATAATCCTTGCCACACATGAGCACATCGACCGTGTAAATCCATCCCATTGAGGACCTTCTCCTCTTTTGTTGACTCTCCACTTTACCAATCATGATATCCTTTTCCAAGGAATGGTCCCTTCTGACAACATGACCAAAGGAGGTGGGACTAAGTCTAGCCATTCTTCCAAGGAGCATTCCTGCTGCACTTCTTCTGGGACAGATTTATTTGTTCTTTCTGCAGTCCATGGTACTTTCAGTATTCTTTGCCAGCACCATAACTCAAAAGCATCAATTCTTCTTTGGTCTTCCTTGTTCATTGTCCAGCTCTCACATGCATATGAGGTATTTGAAAATACCATGGCTTGGGTTAGGCACACCTTAGTCTTCAAGGAGACATCTTTGCTCCTCATCACTTGAAAGAAGTCTTTTGCAGCAGATTTGCCCAGTGCAATACATTCTCTTATGTGTTGACTACTGCTTTCATTGGTGTTGACTGCGGAACCAAGTAATATGAAGGCTTTAACAACTTCAGTCTTACCTCTATTTGTTGTGATGCTGCTTACTGGTCTAGTTGTGAGGATTTTCATTTTTTTGAGATATAATCCATACTGCAGACTGAAGTCTTTAATCGTCATCAGTAAGTGCTCAACTCATCCTCACTGTCAGCAAGCAAAGTTGTGTCTTCTGCTTATCGCAGGTTGTTAATGCGTCTTCCTTGAATCCTGATGCCATGTTCTTCTTCATGTAGTACAGCTTCTGGGCTTATTCGTTGAGCATACAGATTGAGTCAGTATGGTGAAAGGATACAACCCTGACACACTCTCTTCAACTTAAACCATGCAGTATCCCCTTGTTCTGTTCAAATGACAGCCTCTTGGTCTGTGTACAGGTTCCTGATGAGCACAATCAAGTGTTCTGGAGTTAGCATTCTTGTCAGTGTTATCCGTAATTTGTTATGATCTGCATAATTGAATGCTTTTGCACAGTCAATAAAACATAAGTAAACATCTTTCTGGTATTCTTTGCTTTGAGCCAAGATCCATCTGGCATCAGCAATGATATCCCTCGTTCCACATCTTGTTCTGAATCCAGCTTGCATTTCTGGAATTTCTCTGTCAATATACTGCTGTAACCATTTTTTAATTATCTTCAGCAAGATTTTACTTGTGTGTGATATTAGTTATATTGTTCAATAATTTCCACATTGTATGGGATCACCTTTGTTTGGAATGGGTACAAATATGGATCTGTTCCAGTCAGTTGGCCAGGTAGCTGTCTTCCAAATTTCTTGGCATAGACAAGTGAGTGCCTCCAGCGTGGCATCTATTTGTTGAAACATCTCAATGGGTATTCCTTCAATTCCAGGAGCCTTGTTTTTTACCAATTCCTTCAGTGCAGCTTCAACTTCTTCCTTCAGAACCACTGGTTTTTGATCATATGCTAACTCTTGAAATGGATGAATATCGACCAGTTCTTTTTGGTACATTGACTTAATTAATATTTTAATTAATGTGGAAACATTTTTGCCATGAATCAAGGGTGGCTTGACAGTAGCAGAGTCATGTGAAGATGGATTTGGGAATGGATTCCAAAAATTTTTGATGGTACTAATTTGCGACATTCTGAAGATTATTATTCAGAGTTCTAGATGTGGAAGTGGAGAGACCAGAAAAAAACAAGCTCACTGCCATCGAGTTGATTCAACTCATAGTGACCCCTCGTTGGGTTTCTGAGGCAGTATCTCTACAGTAGTAGATTGCCCAGTCTACCACTGACAGGAAAGTCATGGAATGGTTAATGTGATGCATCATTAGGTATACAGTAGAGAAGGTCGTAAAGTCTTGATGGGGCCAGTACTTGGAAGAAGAAAGGAGATTAAGGATAGTAGGAGCAAGGGAGTGAGAGAGTTAGAAGGATTGGAAGTGTTCAGAGAGTGGTGTTTTGTATTTAAGAATTTAAGAGGAGATTTCTGGATAATATGGTGAAGAGAGCATGAGAGAACCATCATCTTTGACTTCACAAAGAAAAAAAAATGAACTTTCAAATACAGGACAAAGAAAAATTATTAAAACTAATTATAGATTTTAGCAGGGATACAAGAGACAAGATTAATACAAAAACTATAATACTATAGTTTTATGCAAATAATGCACACATTATACTTTTTTTTTTACAAACCATTCAATCCCCTAGCACATTAATTTCCTATGCGTGCTATGCACATTATAGGTATGTACACATTTAAGAGCTCTGGTAGCACAATGGCTAAAGCATTTGACTGCTAACCAGA